GCACAATGTACATAGTAGATCCAATTTCCAAAGGACCTAATTATCTCTCAGCTCCGTTAGCATCGCCGACCGTTTGATGCCGACCGTTTGATGCCTACCATGCGATTTTCAGATGCATGGGAACGCATTGCTTAGTGAACGAACAGCCCGAGGCCGATAATCTGCGAGAGAAAAAGAAAGGAGTGTTTGTGGCTGTTTGAACCAGCAAATATGAAATGTGTCGTAACATTTTACGTGCGAACGCACCTTGCACTAAACATACCTATACACGTCCCTCATGGCATAGGCGGCGGAGCGGGGGGGGGGGAGGGGGCACCGGGGCACCGTGCCCCCTTCATTTTGCCATTTTAACATTATCCCTATAGGCGTTGCATGGAAATGGAAATGGAAAGAATGGGACCAAAAGTCGGCAGTGCCCCCCCCCCCCCCCTTAATTGAAGATGTTCCGCCGCTACAGCCTCTGGCTACAAAATGAGAGAGAGAGAGAGAGAGAGAGAGAGAAAGAAAGAGAGAAAGAGAGAGATAGAGAGAGAGAGAGGGAGAGAGAGAGGGAGGGAGAGGGTTGGGGAACGAGGAGGAGAGGGAGGAAGATGGGGGAGAGAAAGAGAGAACCCACAGCGTAGCACGAGTGAAGTCTATTGTTGATATTCATACTTCCGCTACTCTGCCAATGTGCCCATCGTTGCGTTTTCGCAACACCGCTGTCTTTCCGATGTGCCCTTCGTTGCGTTCCCGCAACGCGACCGTAGTCATATTTGAAAATAGTCACAAACCCTTTTTGTAGCATTATTTCTTAACAAAATGCATATCTACGCTATTGTAGGGACTCTGCAGAATATGTTTACACAATTTTCATTACGATATTATTAAGTACTTAGCCTACTTATCTTGGTTTTCGTGACGTCATCACTCACAAAACCTTTGACTTCCCTCTGGGAGCTCTAGGCAGGAACTTACCGGCCGCACAGACTTGTAACTGCGTAGCATCATGCGCACAACCATGCTACACACGCTGAAACTTGTCTCATCGGTTAGTCTCTTTTACACACTTCTCAAGCTTCGATCACGTCGACGCTTGTTTGCGTTGCGAAAACGCAACGAAGGGCGTAAATGGGTTAATTAGATCAAAAGTTATAAGCGAAAAACGTTTGACCTGTTTTTAGCGGAATTTTTACATTTATATCCCTCAAAATCCCCCTAAATATTGACCTACAGCAACCAAATCTGCACAGGGGCGAGAACTCCAGAGGTTTCACCTACCTACCAAATTTGGTGTTTCTAGGTGCCATAGGAGCCAATCGCGAGGGGGGTCGCATCAACCCCCCCCCCCCTGCCAGGCCGTGTTATGAAAAATGCCCTGCCAGGGCGAGGGTTAAGGGAAATAGGTACCAACTTTTTACCAAAATTTCAGGCTCTTTTTCATATGTGTGGAATCAAAATACCAACAAAATACCAAATGCATTAGCTCGCCGGCCGAGGAGGGGTGGGGGGACGGCATAGGGTTTTTTCGCGATAGCTCCAAACACGCTGGAGATAGAGAGCTGAAACTTGGCATACCTGACCTTTGATACAAGCCGGATCTTTGGACACCAAATGCATTTTTTGGGTCAGGTCAGGTCACTGACCTATGACGTCATAATAGAACCTCTGCACGGTCTTCAGACGTCGCAACTTCGCAACGCCCTCACTGCCAGAGGAGATGTCACAGGGAAATGAAACTTGCAGGATCTAGTATCCATTATGAGTTTCACAACTTGTATATCTCGGATTTTTCCTAAAGGTCATATGAGGTCAGTCATTTTCGTGACCTCACCATTTTAAGTCAATGGGGAAAAATAAACTGCTATTCTGGCGCCGGGAGCGATCTCCAACTATCTCAAGCACACAGAATCGTGATTTGATGCACTCCTTGCAAGGTTAGATGCGTCACTTTTGCAATGTTAACCTTGCGTGACGTCATTTATGACGTCATAGAGGTCATATTAGTTTTTCGTCAATAACTCTTGATCAAATTGAGCTAGCGAGTCGGGAAAGCCACCAATGGACTCAGGAAGACCTGCCGAATCGAATGATATGCGACATGACCTCTTTCGACCGACTTCGTGACCTGGGGTTGCTGACATGACCTTGACCTGAGGTCAACACCCCAAGTTGACCTGACCCGAACAAAAAGTATATCATTCGACGCGCCTGAGCGAGGCAAACACGATGCTGCCAAAATCGGCGCTCTGCGGCCGTTTTTTTGCGAAGTCATTCACCAAAAACTGAGCCGTACCTTGGGGAACTTGACCTGACCTCAGAGGTCACCGGTTGACCTAGGACCTTAAAATTGGGTACCAATCTCTGCGTCTCGTAACGGCGCACACGCTCGTTTTTTCTGCGACGCGCTAGCTCCATCAGGGGCGAAACGGCGAGGGGGGGGGGGTCGTACCCGCCCCCCCCTCGGCCGGCGCGTATGTAGAAAACCAATAGGTCCGGCGAGGGTTAAAATGCCAAATACCACGTTGGTATTGGCTTGAGTTAATAAAAAGTTGGTATCCGATTGACATCTCTAGTATGTGCATAATGGTTAGCCGAAGGACTGTCGACGCCAGGAAGACACTGACGGGAATGACTCATTTAGCAGATGCACTATTGATCTGGTCAGATTCTCTTCACAGTTCACATACATAAACACCAGCCCCCATGAAAAGGCATGTATTAGAATCGGGCCGATCTCATCTGGTCGCAATATTTTATTTCAAACCACCTTCGACGAAAGGACCCTTCTGATAAATAAACCAACAGAAAACAATCATATGTACTTACCTACGGCTCTCGCGAGATTAAGCTGTAGGTTTTGCACTTTTACGTTTCCGGTTATATCTCAGAAACTAATCGATCTACGATGAAGCCATTTTACACGATCGTGGCCGGCTTTTGAACCAACAAGTCGATCTCGCATCTTCACACAAAAGCTTAAGACGACGAAGATATAGCCTGAAGTAGGTACACTAATTTTTTAGGTGCAAACTGCAAAACCTACCACCAGTATAACGCCTTTTGGGGCGACTAACGGAGCGAGCGAGAGGGTGGGCCTTGCACGTGCGAAATTTCGAGGGGGTACCTCCAACTGACTTGTGCACGGCACCCTACTAACCGGTCTCTAGCGATGTGCCAAATCATGGTGTGTCAAAAGTGGAAATAGCCGGTGCGCCGTCTGGCAACCCGGCAGCCCGCCGCCATAGGGAAATTCATGCTTTTTGTCGCTTTTTCGCTCCCTATGAGTCACTTGATCTAATTAGAGCTTAACTAGGAACGAGGTGGGTCACTTGGACGTATTCGGGAGCCGAATACGGTGTTTTGGAGCCAATACCTGGGAAACCCTACCCGCCCAATGCGAGTTTTTAAGAGTTTGCATACCCAAATTAACGTTGAGCGCGGCCGTTTTCGGTCGGTTTTCCCCGACCTTGTGGCGAAATCGCCTTATTTATTCAACCAGGGTAGGCTAATTCGCTTAACTAGGAATGAGGCGTTGAAGAGAATTATTCAAGGAATAGAGCTGTGCAAAAATATTTTTGCATTGTTAAAACTGTATCCGCCCTCGAACGATAAATATTGCTGACCCATCAGAAACACATCACCTGGAATGCGTTTGGACTTGGCTGGATCTAATATTAGCGAGTATCTGCTAATGCAGTTTCTTGGCTTACATAGTACGCACACAAGCATACATACTTCCTGCCCTTGGTTATTCCTCACTTGAATGAAAATTTTGCTTTAATAACCATTCCAAGCAGTTAACAGGTTTTAGTGTAGTGCCAAGTTGGAACCGTTCAGCGCCGCCAGTCTTCCACACACAGAAAAATATTAACACCGTTAGCGGTGTAATTGCACAGTACATATCTGAGCACTTGAGGAAAGTTAATTTAGTCCCTTCCCCGCTTAAATTACTCGCGCTTCCAAATGAACACCAGGAAGAAGGTAATAGAACACTGTTAGGAGGGTTGGGTGTTTTGCTACATGTAGTAAAACACCCAACCCTCCTAACAGTGTTCTATTACCTTCTTCCTGGTGTTCATTTGGAAGCGCGAGTAATTTAAGCGGGGAAGGGACTAAATTAACTTTCCTCAAGTGCTCAGATATGTACTGTGCAATTACACCGCTAACGGTGTCAATATTTTTCTGTGTGCAGGCGGCGCGTAACGGCTGCCGCCGGCCGCCGCGCCGCCGCTCTGGCAGGGTGTTTGACTTCATATCTCTGTTGCTAGAAAAGTTGTGGACCGATTTACTTGATTCTTGCATGAAAAGATCCGCCATTCAATTCTTAGCAGATAACGAAAATTTGACGTCAATTGCACGATCCGCTGCCCATATTGTGGTACTGCCATCTATTGACAAGGCTGGCGAACTAAAGCCGGGCGGCTATTTCCACTTTTGACACACCATGTTTGAGCACAATCGGCCCAGCCGTTCTCGAGATCTGGAAGCGGCACCTTGCACGTGCGCACGTGCAAAATGAGTCCCAACTGACTTGTGCACGGCACCCTACTAACTGGTCCCTAACCGTGTACCAAATTTGAGCGCAATCGGTCCAGCCGTTCTCGAGATCTGGAAACGAGTAACGACCCCTGCACGTGCGCACGTGCAGCAGCACCCCAACTGTGGCACATGGATATGCAGTGCCTAGTGGGTGCCTACCCTACCTACATGCCAACTTTCAGCGCAATCGGCCAAGTAGTTACCGAGATATTGCAACAATTACAAAAGTGACACCTCTTCGTTTTGCACGTGGCACGTGCATAAGGGGTCACCCACATCCATCGGGAATAGTCCAATACTTGGTAGAAGGAATGAAGCTACCCTACAAAAATTACCGCATGTAAATCGGTCAAGTGGTTGCTGAGATATAAGCGTCGCAGAATCGTGACCACGGCCGGCCTTTCCGTTAATCTAAGGAAAGACTACGCTCGCTTCGCTCGCTCCGTAACTAAAACCCACGAGACCTGTACATGAACTGGTTCTAGTATGTAGATCATTTATTTATTTACAACTGAGCCGCTGTGACCATCACCAGCCCCTTAGGTCCTAGAAAGATACATTTATTAGAGATAAGCCCTTATTATGAGACAGACACAACGCATTCGGGTGGACGCGTTTCGTCGAGAGACTATTTCAACACCCTACAGAAATGGAAGCAACACATCCACACACAAGAATACAACTTGCACTAGCTTTATTCAAGTGTGAAATAAGATAAAGTAAAGTAACTTTCATGATATCTCATCTTTTTGTTGTCTTCTTGCGTGCTATTTTTGCCTCTTTTTTTGCCTTTGCATCATACACAGACTAACCCAACCCATTTTTTTTTCAGGGGCACTGGCTATCATAGCAGTAGACAAGCTGACAGAGAGGAGTTAAGGTATCAGCGGATAGAAAATCGTGCCACCCCGGAGCCAGGTTGTCAGAAATCAATGGTGCTAAGCCTCCATGGCTTTGGCCGTTGAAGTTATGAGGTTGTTCTATGGCCCAGGACGGACCATCGGATGGCACGGTGCCGCAGCCGTCGTCAGCCACGAAGTGGTTTTCAGTGACGACGTCGTTAAAACCCAGCCAGATTAATGACGTTCCCGCGATGGAGTCAGCGCACTGGTTCTCCTCGTCGGAGCGGGGCACGGCCAGGTGGGCGTCCAGCGCGGCGCACTGGCTCTCCGCTTCGGCGTAGGTGACTGCCAGGTCCAGTCGCTTCAGACAGCGGCCGGCACAGCGGCTGAAGCCAGCCGGACAGGCGCAGGGATCGGATACGTTCCCTGAAAAAGAAACGGTAAAATCCATCAACATTGACGTCGCATAGGAACTGTACAGCTGATTGAAAAATCACGTGTGACTATCACGTTTTTTGGGGCTGCATGCCCACGTCATTTTCACTAAAGTGCGTTCACCTAATCCTAAATGCTCTAAGCTATCGAACAGCGCCTACATGAAGATACAGAAAAATAGATATCAGCGTCACTATAGCTCCAATCTATCTTTGTAACGGAGCTCACAGAGCAGGAATGAGGAACGGCGGAGCATGATGACGTTTTGTACATAAGGTGTAATATGTTTATCGTTTTGCACTCGTACACAGTGGCGGCGGAACACCTTCAATTAGGGGAGGGGGGCACTGCCGACTTTTGTTCCCATTCTTTCCATGCAACGCCCATAGGGCTTATGCTAACCCTCTCCAGCACATGCCATTTTCCCATCCTAGAACGCACATGGGGGCTGGTTGCCACCCCCCCCCCCGCGCCATTTCGTTCCTGTTGGAGAAAGAGCTTCGTGGTAAGACCAAAAAGATTCTTTGGGAAGAGGCAAATCCAATGATACCCAGTTTTACCTTCTCGGGTCAGTCATTGACCTTCCAGGTCAGGTCAAACTAAAAAATGTTGCTGTTTTGGGTCACCGTTGGATATCAAGTGCGCTGCTTATCATATACCGATGACGATGCCGTTTTCTGGTGCCAAGCCAGCTAGAACCTCTTTGTCACACTACCCGACCAGGTTTTTGCTGCTGAGGTCATTTCAGGTCAAGTTAGGTCAAGGTGAATGATATGTGTTTGTATGTCTGTGTGTGTCTGTGTGTACACTGATGTGTGCACCGATTGTTTATGTGTCTATGTTACAGGCAAAGTGAAAACTCGGGCATTTTGCAAAATGCCTAGGCAATTTGCAAAATGCCTGACTGGCTAGGCATTTTGCAAAATGCCCAGGCAATTTGCAAAATGCCTGACCGGCCAGGCATTTTGCAAAATGCCTAGGCAGTTTGCAAACTGCCTGGCCCACCAGGCATTTTGCAAACTGCCTGAAATTATTTTCTCAGGCAGTTTGCAAAATGCCTGACATCGAACTCACACCAGCGACGATGCGTAAGCATCATTGTAAGTGCCGCCAACAGGGGTTAATCACAAGCGATACGCACCAAGTGGGAGGACACACAGTGAGACATTCTCCGGGTAGCGCTGCCGAGTTCAATGTCACTGAGCCCCAGGCAGCGCGTGCGGCCCGGCCGCTGCGCCGGCTACCGGGCGCCCGGCGCGGTTTTATCGGTAAACACACGCGTTAAACACGGTTATGTTTCTCAGAGCCTTGATGGCTCTGGAAATCAGGGCTGCGGAGTCGATGGATTTTAGGGTGACTCCGACTCCGACTCCGACTCCGGCTTCAAAAAACGACTCCGACTCCGACTCCAACTCCGACTCCGGACGGTTCTATTAAAATACATATCATGATATTGAAGTTCATAATGGAGATGTTTTTATCTTGCCTGAAACGATCTCTTGTGCTTTCCAAGGGGTTGCGTTGCAAATTTACTTATAAAAATACTTATAAATACTTATAAAAATACTTTGTGTGGATATTGATCAGAAAAGAATGTTCTTTCGATTTATGGTAGCTTGGTTGGCGAGCCACACGTCTACATTATCAATGCATTGTGACTGTGTAAAGATGAACATGCCCGTTGCATGTAAAACTTGTAATTTCTAAACGTCTTTTTATTACAAAGGTGTGCACGTGGGTCGTGGATGACCAAAAACTTGCTTTTCTGGAAAAGCGGAAAAGCCACATGTTCTTGTTGTCTATGGAATGTATCTCATCTCATTCCAATTTCCAATGCATTGCCATTGTTTTTTTTAAATGCAGTTTTTCCTGAAATGTACCAAAAATGGCTGATTTCTCAAGATATAAACCATTTCTTTCCACGTGACACGTGATTAACAAAAATGTTTATTGGATACGCTTGTCTCTGCTCTATCGATCGCTGGCAACCCCGTGTCGCTGCGGCCCTCTCTTGCCGTGATGTAAATAAGCACGGGAAACGAAGAATGTCGGGTCAATATTCGGCTGGTCGCCGCGTTTTTCCGCGCCCATGTTTCTCTGTGCCATGCTCCGCGCCCCATCGCAGCATTCCTACACACGAACGGCTACAACTCCGTATACGAAAATTATAGGGAGACGTTGGCTCAATCTATACCATTCAGTAGAGGTTCCATCTCGATGGAAGTGGCGCAAGACGTGGGTATATTCGTAAATATTGAATCTGTTTGGGGCTCAGGCACGTGGGAGCGACATGGTCAACGCCTGTGGTAAACAAAAACGGTAAAATAAATCAATCACAACTCAGGCATTTTGCAAAATGCCTGACCCGCCAGGCATTTTGTAAACTCCCCAGGCAGTTCGCAAAATGCCTGGTGGGTCAGGCAGTTTGCAAACTGCCTAGGCATTTCGCAAAATGCCTGGCGGTCAGGCATTTTGCAAATTGCCTGGGCATTTTGCAAAATACCTAGCCGGTCAGGCATTTTGCAAATTGCCTAGGCATTTTGCAAAATGCCCGAGTTTTCACTTTGCCTGTAACATCTATATTACATGAAATCATGATCTGAGAAGCTTTTACCAAAAATGCAGTCAAAAAACTTCACGAAAAGTAAGTTCAGCTTGCCTAAAACGCAATTATTTTAGATGACCTAGGTTGACATTGACCCTGACCTTGACATCTGTACATCGTCGAACAACATGTTCCATGATAGGTGGGAGGTAAGACTGGCAAAAAAGGCCGAAATCAAGGTGTCAAAAGCTCTCAAGGCCCATAGCCGACGCAAGATGTTGGGAATTGGTCATTTGGGTCATGACATGACCTGAAAAAAACAAGGTCATATCTCCGAAACCATAAAACACAGAAACTTGAAATTTGCAATGGACATCAAAAAAGAATAGAGGAGCAGCTATACTAAAAATCAGGCTTCCAGCTCTAGTTTTTCTAAAAAGTATTTTTCTTCGAGTGGGGTGAAAGTCCCAAAGTTTTGAAAATTCGAGAAAGCAGTTTTGTAGCGCCGTCTTTTCTCTACACAACCACATGAAAAATTTTAAAATTGCTTGTTAACTGTATAGATTTGGTGAGCGTTTCAAGATGCATGTTTTTTTTTTGCTCATTTTTACTCGAACATGACCTCAGTTTGACCTCAATAACTCCTGACCCAAGGTGACCTGTGACTTGAAATGTTGTGTGAAGCTGTCAAATTAGTGCCCGGGAAGGTACCTAAAATTTGGCAGCGCTGCACGCCGCCGTTTTCTCGCTATTAACCCGCGGCGTGCCGGGGAGGGGGAGCGTTTTTTGGCACACCTGTTCATGCATCTTTTCCGCACATGTTGTGAAAATTTCAGACCCAGGTCGCCTTAGATCAGGTCACCAGGTCACGCCAAGTGACCTCACCTCAGAAAAAAATAAGAATGCTCGTCATAGCTACACCGAATGATCGATTGCCTTGAAACTTTCAGAGATTGATTAGAGAAACACTATCTATAAAATGTATATCTCGGAATTTCGATGTCGGTGGCCTAAGGTCAGGTCAATTTTGCGGCCTCTCCATTATAAGACAATGGGAGAAAATTGAAAAGCGTCTATTTTGCACAAACGCTATTCTAGACACTCTCAAACATCGAGATGTATAGTTCGTTTTTTTTAAGTTCGACCCTTACTGTAAACATCTTTTTGGAAACAGCACGAGAATTGCTAGCTGAATTACTGAGAAAACTGGTTAGCGCACTTTGTATTGGAGATATGAATTAAAATTTTTTTTCAAAATAAGTTTCTAACACCGATGATATACTGTTTCGGTAGACGCCGTGCGATTTATTAATTAGTTTACTTATACTTCTTGACAGGTCCTCGGTCCTTATGGGGCTGCAAATACCGAGCTGCGAGTCTGGGAAAAAGAAGCCAGGTAGAAATAATTTTGATACAATTGATCGTCTGCGAAATCATTGTGCGCCAACCAGTTTTCTCAGTAATTCAGCTACCAATTCTCGTGCTGTGTCCAAAGAGATGTTTACAGTGAGGGTCGAACTTAGAAAAAACGAACTATAGGTAAAATTGACACACTGAACCGGAAAATGGCAACTGTGGCCCCTCGTTATGTCCCCGAGGTCATCTCAGGTCACGAACAGAATCTAACAGTTTTTCGCTAATAACTTCTGATAGAGGCGTGCTAGAGCGCTGAAAACGCCTTATGTGTTCGGCTCGACGTTGCGGATCGACTGATATGCAACATGACCTTTTCCGGTCAGGTCATGACCTTGGTCAAATTTGCAAGTTGACCTTTCGAGGTCAAATTATAGTGCATTCGACGCGTCTTGACGAGAGGAACACGATGCTGGCAAAAGTATTGTCATGGCTCTTTTGAGTCAAAAGTTATTGCCGAAAAAAACGTGTTTCGTAAAAACGGCTATTTTTGGAGTTTTTGCCCTCTGGACTCTGGAGGCTAAACCGTTGACCCGAAGTCAAATCTGAGAACATAATTCAGAAAGGTCTGTGAAAGGGCTATCGAATGCGCTTTTCCGCGGCGCTGTAGCTCTATCGGTTCCCGAGATAGCCGTTGGCAATTTCCAAAATGTTGAAATAGTCAGCATTTTACCTTTGGTGACCTCTGGTGACCTGACCTTTGACCTGACCCAAAAAATGACCGTAGTGTTTTAGTCCTTATTTTGGACGTTCTTTCGATTGCCGCTTACCACGTGTCGCTACGTGGCCCAGGAGCCGAGTTAGAAGGGGGGGGGGGTGTTCAGACACCCCCGGCCCGGCGCGGAATCTCAGAGCACCGGTCCGGCGCGGGTTAATGAAAAAGCACGGGGGTCCAAAATGCCCCCTGGCCCCTCCCCCCATCAGGGCGCGGGTTAACCCGCGCCCCACTGGGGGGGGGGCTATTTATAGCCCCCCCTCCCGTTTTTCTGCAATAACTTCCAAACCGCTTGACGTATCGACGCCAAACTTTCAGTACCTTAGGCTGCATCAATTTGACGCCTTGTGTCAAAATTTGAACTTCGTACCTACTATAGGTCGGCCGGAAATGACGTCAGAGTGACGTCATGTTCGGCCGATTTCGACGCAAAACATTGAACCACGGCATTCGCTCCCAAGAGCTCAGTTTTTAGGCTAGATCCAATTTCTTTGAATGAGAGGACTCAGAATAGACTGCGCTATCAAACTGCTATCTCGGATTTTCGAAATTTTGAGAATTTTGAAAATTTGATATAATAATATCCAAAATTTATATTTTTACATTTTTTTCAGAAAGTTTTTGATTTTTCGAAAAAAAAAAAACGGAATATATGTGATATAACGCATTATTATGACTAACTCTAGCAAGTTTTAGCTAAATATCTTCAAAAATGGCAAAGTTTTACGCATTATTGCAAAAAATTCACAATTATTAAGTTTTCAAATCAATTTTTCAGCACGTATTTGATATCGTACGCCAATATAAATAGCACCATCGTGTTCCTGAGCTCAAACTGCATCCAATAGACACCCTTTTTATTGAAAAGTTTTAACTTCAAAATTTGACCTTTTTTGACCTGAAAGTGACCTAACATAAGCTAAATTCGACTCAAAATGACCTCGAATGACACAGACGACATCAAATTCGAAATCTCTGACCTAAATGGACCATAAAACATGTGTCACGTGACCGACGCATGATATAATATTTTCGTGACCTGTGATGACCTGACCTTGACCTGAAAATCAAAGTACAAGTTTGGTACCCTCAGGGTAACTAGAGCATCTGTTCCCGAGTGTGTGATCCAAAAATGAGCCTGATCTGACTTGTAAGACGGCGGCCAGAGCCCAAAACGTGAACAAGCCAAAATGCTAATAATTTTTACTTTGACCTGACCTGTGACGTCATCGGTGACCTCGAGGTCAATGAAATTAGGTTTCGCTCGACAGTTTTTCCGGGGCTATCAGACGCCGTTTGAATTTTGGCGATCGGCCCAGTAGTTTCGGAGTTAGGAGGGGGGGGGCTATGAATAGCCCCCAGTAGGGCGTCTTATACGCAGACCCCAGTGGGGCGCGGGTTAAACTCGCTCTGGCATGTTCCCAGAAGTAAATAGCATTCATGTGATTACACAATCAGCAATATAAGAATGTAGTTATGTAGGGTAACCATACGGCATTCTGCTGAACCATTTGACGTTCCATTTGGTCGGTCATATGAATTCGGCGCCATGTTGCCAGGGTGAGGGAGCAGCTAATGGTAGGTTCACATGGTTCGGTTATCGTGAAAACCGGAGCAGGGGCTTGGCTTGTAGCCGGGCAACCTAACACACAGTGCGCGAGCTGGGCAGACGCTAATACAAGCTGAACACGCACGCTTTCATTGAAGTCAATAGAATGTGGACTCTAACGCCTGCAGTTTGTACAGGCAAAACGTCTAGCCTAAAAAGTGCAGAATTAATAGATTAAACTGTCCATCCAAAATACAAAAATAATCTACTGTGTCGGATCTTTAAAGTAAAGTTTTTAATTTTTACCCCCACAATTGAAAAACTAGTTTTTATGATATAGCACGCTATAACCACGAAAATGTCACCATATAAAAATGGAAGGCATGCTTTAGAGCTTAACGTCATCCACCGACATACCAAATTCGAGATCGATAGCCCCTTTTTATGGCAAACTGGTTGCAAATAAAAGTTGATGACGTTAAATTTCCAAACTCAATTTTTAGCCGTTATACAGACCAAGTAGAATAAAACTAAAGCCCTTGTTACACTGCCGAATTTTGGTACACGAATGTGCACGAATATGCAAGTCATCCTATGTCGCGGATCGATTCGGGATCTTTCTTCCACGGTCTTGGCATTTTGCAGACCAGTCGGTGCCCACCGCGCGACTTTTACGGTTCGTCACGACCGCCACGAATATTTCATGAAAAATGAAAATTTCGTGGCCGTTCGCCGAACTTATAATAAACGAACATGATCGCCAAACACTCGCCGAGTCACCGCCGACATGTCGCTACGTGCGCCGACTTGTTGCCAAGGTATCGCCGACTATTCGCAACAGATTCGCTATTCATTCGCGATGTTCGCCGAATCATGGATCAGCTTTGACCCGCGAACGATTAGGGGGGCCCCCCACCTGTTGTCTGCAAATCGGGCTCTGTCGGCGCACTGTTCGCCTCTGTCGGTGAACTGTTCGCCGATTTCCTACACGACGTGATCGGCGACAGGGTCGTGGCCAAAATTCGGCAGTGTAACACGGCCTTAAGACCACCTTTAGATTCTTCGTGACAAGCTGCATCGAATATCCACCCTTTTTACGTTAACATACCAGTAAAACGCCTTTTGGGCGAAAAACGAGCGAGCGAGATAGTGAGCCCTGCGCGTGCGGAAGGGTGAGAGAGTACTTCCAACGGGGCTTGTGCAAAGCGCCCTTCTAACCGGTCGCTAGCGGTGTGCCAAATTTGAACGCAATCGGCCCAGCCGTTCCTGAGATCTGGAAGCGGCATTCTGCACGTGCGCACGTGCAAACGGGGTCCAAACTGACTTTCTGGCCTAACCTGAAAATGCGGTTGGTGTAAAAAAAATCTGGCCTGAATCAAAGGTTAGGTGTGCCAAGTTTCAGCTCTCCGACTCCATTACCAGCGTGTTCGGAGCTATCGCGAAAAACCCTATGCCCCCCCCCCCCTCGGCCGGTGAGGGATAAGTGACCTTACTTAACAAAGTATGTCTAGTTAAACGATGCTGTATCGATGATGTTCGATACTGTGCCCTTTACACTATGTTACTAACACAATAGAAGGCATGTACACGACGAAAAAAATAGACAATTGACCTAATCTTTGACGTCATCGGTTTCAGCTAATTCAATGAAATTAGACCACATATTAGTCCCCCAGTGGGGCTATCGAAAGCCGTTCGAATTGTGAAAATCAGTCTTATAGTTTCCACCACCTGCTCCCTATAATCCCTATCTGAAAGGTTATCACAATTCCTTTATGATAGGTTTGCTGGTGTCAGCAATTGTTGATAGTTTATGGATACAACACAAAAACTAATAAATGTGTTACTGCAGTTTACCTGTGCATGTGGACCTGGCCATGTAGCCTTCGGTGTTCAGTTGAGAGCTGTTGACGGCCGGACCGCGGCAGTCGCCAGAGAACAGCCGGCACGTGCCGTCATCGGGTCCGTAGATGAAGCCGCTGCACTCTTCAGGAGTAGCTCCCTCGCACAGGAGACCGCAGTCGATCTCCGATTCAGCAGAGAGTATCTGTATAGCCGGACCGTGGAGGGACACCGGATCCAGCCAGCGGTACCGGACCGCGGCTGTTGACGTCACCAGGAGCAGCAGCAGTACCGCTCCCGGCCGGGCCATGGCTGCACTGCAAGTGAGTGCGATATGCTTCAAACTGTTCTCCCGGTACTTTTGCTGTATTTACACGCAATCATATCGATTTGTGCACTGTTAGAAGTACCATGGCAATGGTCTAACCCTTTCGCGTGTACCCGAGCAGGTTGTTGGCATGTTATGCCACGGAGCTTGGCATTTAACCCTCGCCGGCACAGGCCATTTTGTGTCATTCGACGGCACAAGGGGGAGCACGAAGGGAGGAGTAGTACGACCCCCTCGCGTTTGCCCTTGATCGAGCTAGAGCTTCGCGGAAACAACGAGCGTGTTGCCCGTGATGAAAAGAATAGATGATACCTGATTTTAAGGTCCTAGGTCATCGATTGACCTTCCAGGTCAAGTCAATTACCCAAAAGTCGGGAAATTCGGGACACGTTAGAACGTCGTGAAGTGTGGCTGCTAAGGGGTTTTCGGGGTACTGATCACGAATATCATGTTAGTTTTGCGTTAGGCGGCACGGGCGGACATCGATAGCAGCGCCTCTATCGGTCACTAGGGAAAGCTGGGCTGTAGGCGCCGATATACCGGCTGAGTTGTCACACGTTGAATAGGTTTATAGCCATCCGTCTTGTGAAAAAGTTGAACTTTTGCCTTTAATATTTCTACAGGCAATTTTAGAAGTGTCTTCACATGGATTACAAAACCGTTTAGATTATTGTATTCACTTCAAGCCTTCCCTATTGTTCTTGATGATGCGGGAACTATTTCTAATTAGCGTTTCTAGCTCAGTAAAAGAACATACTGTACAAACGATGAAAAAAGCATAAATGGAAGATTTTAAATGTAATATTCTCTAACAATTAATGGTAAATTCTCTACATATCAAGGAAAAGGTGCATGCTATTTGATAATTTAAAGTTCTTGGGGCCAGTTGTTTTCTTCTTTTCTTACGTCGCCCCAATGGCCGCGAATACACTTGTGATAACGCCTATCGGATCACCGATGATGTCTTTAAACCCGGCAGGCGGTGGGCCTCCCAGCCACCTTCCGCGCGGTGGGGGGGGGGGGGCATTTTTTGCCCCCCTCGTATCTCCGAAACTACTGGACGGATCCGGAAAATTCAAACGGCGTTCGATAGCCCTGTCAAATTTGTCGAAGGATACCAAAATTTCATTGACCTCGGGGTCACCGATGACGTCACAGGTCAGGTCAAAGATAAAATGTTTCACCGTTCACGGGGCTTCTAGGGAAAACGCTATAACACCGAGTAAAACGCATTTTGCAGAAAATCAGCGATAAGGCGTCAGTTGTCTAGTACATATGTTGCTATTAGAGGTCACTGGTCATACCAGGTCAGGTCACAGGTCAGGTCACCAAAGGTCACCAAGGGTCACCACATGAACCCAACTTTACTATGGTTGTGCGATGCATGTTTTATGGCCAGTTTTTCATTTCCAACTCAATGGTATTGGTTATAAGACCATCAGGTACGGTTTAGGTCACTTTCTGGTGGAGGTCAGGTCAACGTCAGGTCAAAAAAGGTCAAATTTCAAAGTTGATATTTTTGCATAAAATGGGTATCGATTCGATGCAGCTCGTCACGGGGAGTCTAATGGTCGTCTTTTTTTGCGCTACGAGGTCTAGAATTGCTAAAAATTGAGTTTGAAAATGACGTCATCAATTTTGAACAGTTTCTTTCGCTGTAACTTGGCCAAAAAAAGAGGTATTGATCTCAAATTTGGTATGTAGATAGAAGGCGGTAGGGACTATCACATATACATATTCCGTTTTTTTCGAAATTCAAAAAACGTTTTGGATTTTTCGGCTATTATTTTCAAAAAAATATATTTTTTGATTTTTGGGAGTCAAAATCCAAAAAATTCGAAAAACCGAAATAGCAGTTTTGTAGCCCTCTTGATTCTACACCTTTTATGTTGGAACATTTTCTGTATCTCTAAAGCTGTAGGCCTGACAGCTCTTCCCGCGAAACCTTTTTTTGGGTCAAAAATGGCAAAAATGACGTCACTCTGACGTCATTAGCGGCCAACCTATCATAGCCTTTGGAATTTTTTTTGTCACCATGTGCGCTAGCTACTCCCGGGAGGGTACTGAAAGTTTGGTGACGATCGGCGCAGCGGTTCTCGAGATATATCGAAAAAACTAAAGGGGGGGGGGGAAATGCCCCCCACCGCCTGGAAGGTTAAGCATTTAGACCAGTCGGGTCAGGTCAGGTCAGCTCAACCAATAGTGTTCCTGCTGGGTATTCGTAGTACGTTTCAACCGCCTCTGACAGCTTCATAACATGTTACGAAGGCACTAAAACTATGTACTTTGTAAATGTTCAAATGGTTACTAAGTTCGAATTCAGCTAAAAAACTAGCGTAGAAACATATAAAATTCGAAAAAGTGAGCCGAAGTCATCAAAGGTCAATGACTTAGCCTGACCTTCCAGTGACCTTGACATATGACCTAATGCATGGGAGCAACATTAACCCGCGCCCTGATGGGGGGGGGCATTTTGCCCCCCCCCCCTTGTGGTTTTTCTTAAATAGCGAGAAAACGGCGGCGCTGCACGCCGCCAAATTTTGGGTACCTTCTCGGGCATCAATTTGACACCTTCACACAAAAGTTCAAGTCACAGGTCATCTCGGGAGTTATTGAGGTCAAACTGAGGTCATGTTCGAGTAAAAATGAGCAAAAAACATGACATCTTGAAACGCCCACCAAATCTACAGTTAACCCGGCACCGCCTGGGCTATTTCCGTACCCACGACAGCCTGGAGGGGGGGGGGGGTCGGATCCGACCCCCCCCCCCCTGTTATCTCGAGAACCAATGGTCGTATCGAGCCCCGCGTGGCGGCGTTCGAAAGGCCTCTACGAGACCTTCCCAAAGCACTCTTAAGATTTTAAGAAGATTGAGATCAACTTTCGGGTCAAGGTCAGGTCAAAGGTCAAATTCTGGGGTTTTGAATGATTAGGCTTACGGACAGCAGAATCGATAGCTGCTGCTCGAAACTCACCAAAAATGACCTCAAAGACCTAGTGAACTTACCATGTGCGTATAGGGGTCATACTAAGTACGGGTCAAGGTCAGCGTCAAATTTTGGGGTTTTGAATGATTAGGCTTACGGACAGCGGAATCGATAGCTGCTCCTCGTAACTCACCAAAAATGACCTCAAAGACCTAGTGAAGGTGCCATGTGCGTATAGGGGCCATACTAAGTACGGGTCAAGGTCAGGTCAGGTCACGAAATGTCACGGTTCTCACTTTCTGCTACATGGGCGTGCGACACATGTTTTATGGCTTATTTTTCACGCCGAATCCGATGGTATTGGTTATATGTAACCCCAAGTCACTGTGCTGGTGATAAGTGTGCATTGAAAGCATAAAATAATCGTTTATACCATACATAACTAAACGAGGGCTAAGAAAAGGCACGATATATTCGTGATCAGCACCCCGAACAACCCCACAGAAGCCACACTAAACGACTTTCTAATAGGTCCCGATTTTCCCGAATTTTGGGTCATTGACCTGGCCTGGAAGGTCAACCGATGACCTAGAACCTTAAAATCGGGTATCATCGTCTTCCTCTCGTGAAGGACAACACGCTCGTTTTTTTCCGAAGCTCTAGCTCAATCAGGGGCCAAACGCGAGGGGGGTCGTGCCAAACCCCCCTCCCCTTGTGCCGTCGAAGGACGTAAAATGGCCCGAGTGCCGGCGACAGTTAAGATGATTTTATTCCCACGTTTTTCTGCCATGAGACATATATTTTCCAGAACTCTAAAAATCAATAAGCAGCAGGGAACAAACTCCTTGAACTAATCCCATCGAGAGCTTTTGCCAAAACTACTGCTAATGCACGCCTCTTCCGGTTTTCTATGAATCCCGTTGCTGTGATGTCGTGTGCAATACGACGAATGAAGGTTTACACTTTACAGCAAGACATCAAAACTAAACCACTCACTATATGTGGACAACGTTATCAAGTTCGTAATTTTCTGGTTCAACTTCAACATAGGTTACATGGTTATCAGTTATCACATAAACACAAAAATATGCGCACATGGCGAGGCAGATCATTGGCAAGGACACACAAATGTACATACAGCAGCCTAGTGGCACAAGCCACTAACGAAATTGAACATGCGATAAAAAGGAATAATTTCCTAGCCTACTTCTTACGAGTAAATGTCACGCACGCTTTGTGTCATTCCCGCATTGCTGTTTTCGTGGCTTCCTAAATCCTAAATACACTCAGAAAAAAGAGGGGCAGTCATAAGTAATTTGCACACAACCAGGTAGGTACTTTTTTTAGGCGTAAGCAATGCTGGTTAATACACAATAAAGCAGACGTGGAGAAGTAGTCATAGGACAGAGGCAACAGCAACCGTTCTCGAGCGTTCATGATTTTTCTTTGTCTGCTCGTTAACAAAACTGAGCCGTTCGGCCTCTCCATTAGCAAAGAAGACTACTATGGACGTCAAACCCCTTGAGACATGGGTGGAGAACCTGCCCCGGCCACCCCGGCCGTGGCCGGGGTAACTTTCAGCCTACCCCGGCGCGGCCGGGGTAACTTTGTCCACTTTTGTAAATCCTAAAAGCTATCTCCATGCGAAAAACTGCCACCTATAAAAGAATCTCTCATTATTCTTATCTACCTTCAAAGGTTTTTTAAAATTTACTTTATTTTCATTTTGGAGCTTCTATGCTCTCAATTTTTTTTTCATCGCGCAGCCCGACAAGTTTCATCTAACAACCCTAAATCATATTTAAGGGCCGTTATCGTAAGATGGCACTGCAATATCATCACAAGAGAGGACGAGGGTAATATCAGTGTCCAGTGAGATAGAAGGACGAGCTGTTGGGGGCTGGGGCTCAAGGCTCCTCCAACTTAACCCGCGCCAGGGTGGTGGCCCTATCGTAACACGTTGAGTCGAGCGGTCGGCGTTTCACGCTCCTTCTAACTCGGCTACTGGGCTACGAGGCGAAAAGCGGAACGACGTTTGAAAGAGGGACAAACGTGATCAGAG